TACAAAGATATTTATTCTAATTAATTAAATTAAATCTTATTTTGTTCATTTGAGTAGAAGCATATAGGAACTAATAGTGATAAAGTTAATTTTTAGACTTTTAATATTGTTACGAACATGCATTGTAACAGTTGAATCTCAAAACGATGAGAAGCTTTCAGAGATGTACCGAGCGCGGCAGAGATCGACCCGTCAAACAGGCGAATTGGAGGTGGACTATTCCAGAATATTCTAGTACATAATAACTTATAATATAGAAGTAGCTCCGATATTAGCTTAGTTTAGTTGATAAGATATTTTCTTGCTGTAAACTTATAAATAAATATATTTATATAAATTAAGAACCACTCGTTTTATTAAAAAATGTACAATATATTTCTTCTTATAATTGTAATTTATTCTTAATTCACCAAAAGGAAAAAGATAGTAAGTAAAAAACTTGTTGATTTATTTATTTATAGTATATACACAATTATAATTAATACAGAAAATGCATACACCAACAACATAACAGAATAATATCTATCCTTATGCAGATATAATATTGCAGAAACAAAAAAATCGAGTAAAACTCATATCATGTATTTTGTTAAAAAGAGTAATTATTTACTTCATTTCAAATCATAATGAATAATCTTTAATTGAAATTGTTTTTTATTATAGTGAGAATATTCTTCAGTAGATCTACTACATCCACTTTAGACAAAAAACTAGGAGCTCAATAAAGACAAAAAAGAACATAAAAATGTTCAGCAGGAAATATTTTAATTTTTTTAATTTATTTAATACACGGGATAACCCCATTAACAATTTAAATTACAATATACAATATCACAGTTAGGATTCAAACTTGAAATTACTTATAATATAGATTCATCATTATAAAAAGTTTAGAAAGGTTTAAAAAAATGAGACTAAAAACTTTACATACTAAAAAAAAACAAACAAAATATAACAAGAATACAAAATTGAACAATCCCAAATATACATAATCACACAGCAAGAGATCTTTTTAACTGAGTTAAAGTTATATTGAAAATATTAAAATCATGAACATTTAATATAGTGTATAATAGCCCCATTTATCTAACCAATGGGTTGTGAATACCATAGGTTGTTCTATGGAAAGAAATATTGAAAACATCTTAGTATGAAGATCTTAATGGGGAACATTAAAGTTAATCTGGCTTAACAGGTTTGGACAATCAATGAATCCATGTATGATCTTATATATAACTATAGCTTTTGACAATGTCAATATGATTCTTGAGTGAGGGTAAAGATAAGTGTTGTTCGATATGGGAATAATTATGATTTTCAATATTAGTGTGGACATGGTAAGCACAATATCTCAAAAACTTTATGCTGGACTCTTTCTTCTAGTATCAATATGTTTCTGAAAATAGGGTGACCAAATAACTGATATTCAGTATGTTATAACAGTATTCCAAAATAGTTCTAAATTAAGCAACTAATACACTAACCTTAGTTGAATTAATGGAGGAAATACATGCAATTCCTAGTAACGAAACCAAGAAGTTTAGATGCCGTCATTGAAATAGAGTTTATATGGTCACAGAAAGTAAGCTTCTCATCGAAAATAACACATAAATTCCGAATAGGAGAAACATAATTCAATGGCTGATTATTAATAAGTATAGCTTGTTCCAATTCTATTGACTTTCCAAGAAAAACTTATAAAACAACATTTTTTACATTTAGTGGAGTTGTGTCTGATTGCACGCAATTTTGTAGTAGGTCTAAGTCCATCTTGTAGCAAAGCTTGATCTTTTAAACTATATCTATAACTTTCACAAAATATCAAGTCATCTACCAACCATTTAGACATTTGCTATTTAGGAAAACAGGAAGTGATGTCAATAAACGAAGATATTAAAAAGAAATGGAGAAGTGTGGCCTCCTTGGAGGAACTCCAGATGTTACTGTGATACTGTCTGACAGATGACAACCATCTTATCTTGACTCTTGACTTCTAGATGTAGAGTTTTTAATCCATTCAACAAAACTGACATGAAAGCCTACATTAATTAATTTGCCCAAAAGTATTTGGTGATCTACATGATCAAATGCCTTGGAAAAATCTGTGTACATTGCATGTACCTGTTTATGGTCTTCCATATGAGATAATATATCAGATTAATAGCAAACCATGTGAGTTGCAGTGGATTTTTTGCTTTGAAAATAATTTTGTGATTGAGATATTAAGCCTTTACATAACCAAGAAAGTTGCTTTGCTGTAAGGACTGTCGAAGAGCTTAGGGATTGCAGATTGTATACAAATGCTACAATAATTTTCAATATTGTCTTTTTGACCATTTTTAAATATAGGAACAACATAACTTTCTTTTCATGAAGAAGGAAACATAGGGTTTCCAGAGATCTATTAAACAATATAACAAATGGTATTACAAGGGTTCAGACCCACTTTTTTAATAAAAATTAGGCACTCCATCTGGATCAGCAGCATAGCTTATTGGGCAGCTCATTTAAGCCATTAAAAATATAGGTCATGGTAATTTTAGAAGGACAAATATTTGTACTAAAGTTGCTATTTAATGGATGGATAGGTATGTAAAGGTTGTTGTTATTTGGTGAATACACAATTGGGAAGAAGTTCATAAATAAATTAGCTATGTCTTGACCATTTGTTGCAGATTGGACTTGATAAAATAAGGAGTTAGGTAGGTTATGACCAGTTCGCCTATCATTGATGTCCTTCCAAAATGATTTTGGATCATAAGCCAGTATCTATACCTTTAATAATTAGTTTTGTTTGAGGAGACAGTCCCTGACTGGTTTCTGACTGATTCACATGCACAGTTCTGTTTTCAGGCGTTCGTTTTCAGGTGTTAAAAATTCGGGACTTTGACAAAGAGTTCGATGTTCGTGAGAGTGTTTCAAACTGGTTCATGATCAGTCCATTTGGTTCATGGATTAGGGTGCGGATTTAGTTTAGTTAGCGCAAGCGCCATAGAAACTGTAAATTGTCAGATTTTTTGTTTGTTTTTTTTGTAACATTAATTGTTAACACTAACTAACCTATTATTTATTTTTGTTGAGATGTGGCAATATAATCTTTACGGTTCTACATCTTTAAATGAATATAACTAAAACTTTAATCTTTTTAGGGATATAATAAGAGACTAAAAAGTCATTTAATATTTTATTGCATTATAAATATGGAACTAGAAACAATATACATATTTATCAGTATTAAAAAATTATTGTTATTTACACATGAGCGATCATCTTGACATTGACAGGGACATTGAAATATAAATTTCATCTTCGTAGACATTGTTCCGTCTTACTACACTAGTAGCACATAATAAATAACAATTATTATTGTTTATTATTGCTTATTATTACAATTGTTTATTATTCTGTGCTAGTAGCCTATTTTTACTTACACATTTTGACAATATGGCAATATCATCTTTAAAATAAATTTGTGTCAAATGTCTGTGTTCCTCCTTATACATATAAAAAAACGTGTTGATATTTTGGGGTTAGAAACAGTCAGAAATGTCCGGAAATCGTTCGTGGAGAATTGGCTGTTAAAAACTAGTAAACTAATTGCGCCAGCGCACAACATTAATCCCAAATCTCTCCAAAATACATCCAAAACTAGTCAGGGACTGTTCTCAGCAAACAAAACTATAGTTGTTGAAGCAAATTGCAGACAGTTGTTTACATTCAGCTCTTAGGTGTGAAAATCTAATATAGTCATCATCAGTATGATTACTAACACAAATATAGTGAGCATATTTTTTCTCCAGAGTCAGTCTTTTAAGATCAGCAGAGAACCACTTGGGAAAAGTTGAACTTCTATATTTCTTCAATGGCACAAAGTAAGTATTTTAATAACATTAAATGACAAATTTTTGTGAGTGAGAAGAGGCAGGCAGAGATTAAGGATCAGGTGGAGGAAGACTTGAGAATGTTGGGAGTACTGAAGTGGAAAGCCAAGCCGAAGAATATGAGAGAATGAAGACATCCTTGAGCAGGCCAAGACCCACCATGGGCTGTGGAGCCAATGATGATGATTAAATTAAAAATTTAACAGAAAACCAATAGAAGCAGCAGAGACAGTAATAGGATTGATTATAAAAAATAAGGAAGTTGCTTAGGCACTAAAATAAAGGCAAATCTAATACATTTATTTTTACAATTTTTTCCAGTCACTAGCAGTAGCATATAAGGATTTTCAAGGGGTTCAATAAACACTTTTTAGAAGTTATTTTTTGATTTAACTTCATTTTTTAGAACTGATTTTTATACAAATATAGAAATTAATATTAAACCAACAAAATTGCTGGTATAACATCTAATACAAATGAGTAGGCAGGCAAGTTAATTCAGATTTTTCTTTTTTTAAAAACAGATCTTAGATGGTTTTAAAGTGAAATAAACTCTCTATGTACCATAAATCAAATGGACATCAATTTAACAATGTAAAATATGTATAATAGTACAAAATGTATTATTTATAAATCTTATTATGAATAAATAACATTAAAAACTTCACTCTAGAAGTAGACAAAATTTAAAAATATATTTCCTTTCTTTATAGCTTAACTTCATAGAAATGTATAGTATTCCTTCCTGATTGAATTAATATTGTTATAATTGTGTCATTTTATTAGTAGATGATATTATGTTCCAAAATCATGTACATATTTTATCAAATATAAACTACCTACTAATTTATAATGGTCATATATAATACAGCAAACTAGAATCAACAATTATATGAAAAGCTATGTAAATTGTGATGTAATATTAAAGAATTACTATTAAATAGATATTTCTAACTTTAATAAAGAAACTATTTAAAGTTGAGCAATGAATATATGGAGTTAACTAATAAATGACTTGCATATACACTAATTTTGATATTTGAGTTTATCTATTTGTTTAATATTATTGGTTGGTGTTTATGTATTTATATGCAAAATTTTAAATAGATATTTTCTTACCTGGCTGGCCAAGTCTGGACATAAACAAAAACAGTATCCACATCTCTACCGGTTAAAATAGGTTGTTCAGTGGTTTCCGTACAAAACTGAGCCTCGTCTACAACACAATACAGAAAAAACATAAACAACAATATGAATACACTCTATTAAGTATTAAAAAAATCTCGGATACAGTAAAAGAAAATATTTCTTACATGAAACAAGCAGTTGCAGAAAATCGGAGCATGCATCACACATCTTTAAGGTTGTAGAAGCAATTTTGTCGACTTGTAGTCTAAATATAATTTATTTTGAAGTAACTTCATACATATATCCACTAATTTGTTGCATTCTACATCACCAAAATATTTTAATATCAAACGTCCGCCATATTAAAAACGTATATAATAGAAACGTCAAATATTCTGTGACACTTGACAGTACAGAAGAAATTCTTCTCGCATAATATGAAGACAACTTTTCATAATGTATGCATGAAAAGTTGTATAAAATTTGGTGATCTGTGATAGGTAGTTTACTAAAATAATAAATTCTACATTATATTTTTTACGAAACTACCGTAGATATTAATAAATAAAAAATGAGCGAAAAATTATTTAAGGTTCCCGCATTGCGTTGGATAATGCCAAAGTTGCATACGAAACACCAGGAAAAAATATATCTATAAACCCGAAAACACCGTAAATAACAAAACACCGATCGCAAAAAACTATACTCGTTGAGAAGCACGTCTAAGTTACTATTGTGAAGAAAAGAAAAATATAAATTTGTATTGTATTAAGCCATTTCAATGCCTGAGCCCTACAACCACAAAAACGGATTACTTCATCGTAATACCCTTATTACGAACAGTTTATCCTATTTTACCACAATCAAAAAAAAAATTTTCATTGCCATTTATATCTTCTTACGCTTCCACGTACCTCTAACTCTGATCCTACTCGGCCTTCATAATCTGCCGTCTTCCTTCCATATGTGTCTTATGTCACAATTTGAATAATCAAGATCATTTAAAAAAAAGACATCAGGACCACTGTCTGACTTCAAATATTAAGATCCTTTGTGAACTGATTTCAGCTCATCTCTGGACACATTCCTGAATTCCCCCAGAAGTTGTTTTTCGACTATGCTTACGCTAAGTAACTTGACTACACACCTAAAGGCAGAAACATATTTGTCTGACGTGATGCAACGTGACGAATATCTGACATACAGTTTTTCATCATATAAGTGGTTATATTTACCGCACGCGGGCTATGCCATACTTTCGATATCTGGGTAGCTGGATTGACTGCAGGGTTGAAAGTGACGAGGAAATTTCGACCAGAATAGAACTCGCACGGAAAAACTTTATTAACTGGCGTTCTTTATTATGCAGTAGAAGTCTGTCGTTGACCACACGTCTAAGAGTATTGAAGTGCTACGTCTGATCCACTTTGTTCTATGGATGTGAAACCTGACCAACAAAAACAAAAAATCTTAACAAATTAGAAGCGTTTGAGTTATGGTGTTACCATCGCATGCTTAGAATCCCGTGGACAGCACACATATCAAACGAACGAGTGCTAGAGACCGTGCACAAAGAGCGAGCATTGATCAACATTCTTAAAATGAGAAAGGTCCAATACTTTGGTCATATAATGAGAGGACCTAAATATCGCTTACTCCGGTTAATCATTCAGGGCAAAATCGAAGGAAAACGTTGGGTCGGAAGAAAACAACTGTCCTGGCTGCGTAACATTAGACAATGGACAGGTCGAACGGTCGAGGAACTGTTTCATCTAGTTGCCGACCGTGAATCATTTCATCAGCTTGTCAATATGACGATAGCCAACGCTTGAATACAAGCACGGCACACAAAGAAAAAGAAGACTATGCCACCGACAACGGTTTGAAATCGGGCTAGCTTCTTCTTGACGCTTCTTCCTCATTTTTACCGGATTTGATTCTCCGATTTAACGTAGCAACATGAATTCCGTATTGCCTAGCAGCTTGATTTTGGGCTAAGAAATGCCAGTTCGCACAGACCTGATTGCAGATTTCATTGACTCCACAGACCATTGTTATTGGGTCGTTTTTAGTTTATAATTTCGCATTTTACACCTGGAAAGACAGATATTTTTTATTTAATGGTGGTAATCAAGTATAACTACATGTGGGGCAAAGTTAAACGATATTTCAGTTTGACCCATCCACTAACATTTCACATTGCCCCAAATGGATTTCAAAGTAATACTGGTCCAGTAAAAATTATTAACCCTAACCTAGCAATCTATATTTTGTATAATAGATGGTTAACTATAATTGTTTTTGTGTGTTAGTTTCAAAAATATGTTTAGTTAAACAAGATAGAAGATTTAGCAATTACACTCACCTGCAGATATTACAAATTGTCGCCCAAAAATGTATAAACAGTGATATTTTCAATAACACGGACAGACGACTTCCACAAAATGGTCGATAAGCACGTACAACTTCCAAACATTGATTGACTGGATTGTAAACAGTGGCGGCTCGGTTCACGGAAGAATTTGAAAACGTGCAATTTCACTTTACCCACCATTTCACTTTACCCTTCCCTCCCCTACATACATTCTTCTAATTTTGCAGTTTTATACACATGTAATAGCTGCAGCTACTTCCTCCAATTCTTCTTCAAACTCATCTGAACTTGACATAATTTTACAACACGTTTCCTTGTAAACTAACTAAGGAAATCACTGCGAGTATTTTCTCTAACAATATACCATACTTATATATGCACACTCTGCCTGTACACTACGTCGCGTTGCATCGCATTAGATAAATATGGGTAACCGTCAGCAAACATCAGTTTGACATATATACAAATCTACACACACACTAAACCACTGCGATCTAAACCCTCTAATCCTCATTCAGCATGAATTCTCATAGCAGAGATTGCTGCTGTTATATAAAGTAAAGGATAGGAGCAGCCATACAGGAGAAGAAAACACTCGAGCTGCTTGAGAATTATTTCTTTCTCTATAATCTCAAGATAATGCTCAACTTAATTGTTTCCAATATTTTTAAGAATTTTATCACCCATATTATCGTCGAAATATTAATGTGATGAAGAAAAATAGTTAATACTTTAAGTTTGGAAGTTACATCCAATAATTATTCTATTTTTGCTTTAAAGTTGAAGCGTAGTCTAGCTGTTCAAAATAAATATAGGGAGCCCTCCCACTGACTGGTATACTTGATTCGCCGATCTCAGTCCCAACTGTCCAGTAAATTTAGTAATTATTGAAGTCAAGCTTCTAAATTGGCATTGTATTACATTTTCTCTTTAGTAAAATGATAAGAAGAGCGTCACGGAAGTACTGCCACGACACTGCGTCATAGAAGTACCACCACGAAATAGCGGTTCGTGGTTCACAGCATGTAAACTTAATTTTATTAAAACCTGTAAAAAATAATAAACAAATAATAAAATTACTTTATTTTTTTTTTTGACCTACAACCAAGCACACATACTTATACTATAGAGCGTTCCATGTTAAGAAAATAACGATGCGGAGATAGGGCCATGTATTTCTTATGGACGATAGACACACGACACACACAAGCACGATTCAGGGTTGTATAATTTGTATTTTCGTTTCCACAGACATGAATTAAATTAATGTTTTTTAACGTAATTGACCAAAAGTGCCCATTCGAAACAAGAGGTGAATAGTAGGGAAAATGATTTTAATTAAATAAATAGTCTTTACAAAAGATAATCTTATTTTATCTTATTTTAATTATAGTAACGACAGTTCATTTGTTCTTCGGTAAGAATACCATATACCATGAATCATAGAAATCAGTAGAAAATATTGCCTAGTTAAATCGTGCACTTTGCCGGCTATTAAAGATTTAAAAGCATATAAACGGACCGCTTGAAATGCATATATCTAATTACTAATTGCAACTTAAAATAATACGCTGTGCGTATGTCAGCGATTTTATGTTGTTCTCTAAGACTACATAATGATAATAAGGCTTTGTGGTGTTTAGTTGTTATTCTGACTTTACAGTTAAATGTTAATTGAAAATGGAAAATTCAAAAATTAAGCCAAGGGAATATCTTGGACATCCGTGCAAAACAAATTGTTTTTAAATGTATTTAATTATCATCTAAATTTAAGAAGTGGTGAAAGTGTTTAGAAGTTTAAACCGATAAAGTAAGTGCTATGACAGGAGTAAGTTTTAGTACTAATTTTTAAAATACGCAAAGAAGCTGCGGAAGGAGGACTAATAAAAAACAAGAAAACGTACCAAAAGTAGAGTGAACAACAGAAAGTTCACTTACGATGCAGTAGTTCATACGCGGCTACGTGCCATCATGAAGAGTTTGTTTCTTTAAAAATTTACCGCCGACATTGAACAAAGTTATTGCACTGGTTAAAAAAGACAAAGATTTAGCAAACATGTCACGCACAACAATGTGGAGAATACTCCATGATATGAACTTGTTTTTTGCAACGAGGAGCAAAAGTCAAGCATGATTGAACGGCCCGATATCCTAAAATGGAGGCATCAGTCTTTGCGTGAAATAAAAAATTTCGTTCTCAAAGATACACCCTCGTTTATTTGGACGAACTTGGGTGAATGTTGGACATAGCGTTTCTAAAGAATGGAAGGACCTCTCAGTGACGTCAAACAAGTATGCGCTTGTTAAGGGGTTGTCAACAGGCCTAAAACAACCAACACAACGAGGCCCCCGATTTGTTAGAGTGCATACAGGTAGCGAATTGGGCTTTGAAGAAGATGCTGGTTTTTGGTTTGTAGCTAAAAAAACTCAGCGGACTATCATGATGAGATGGATGGTCCTATATTTGAACAATAGTTTAAGGAAAAGCTGCTTCCTAATCTTCCAGAGAAAACTGTTGTGGTGATGGACGAGGCTTCGTACCATTCAAGGAGAGAAGTGATCTGACACAACCCTTCAATAAAGATCAAATTAAGACGTTTTGCTGGAGAAAATTCTGCATTCAACGGCAGGAAACTAAAAGTCAAGTATATGACAATTACTGATTAGCTTTCATAAATTTTGGCTATTTGTAAACCAAATTTGTTATGACAATTATTTCAAGGATCATTCCTCCATCTTCCAATATTCTTATTTTTTTTTTTTTCGTCATTATCTGTGAGGCACATTGTGTCAGCTATGTAAGTAACTACTGGTCTGATTGCAAGTCTGTATATTTTCAGTTTTTTTGGATAACCTCATGGCTTTCATTACCTCCTAAATATCTCCAGTATGATGTGCTGCTTGTTGGTATTCAATCTGTTACTTCTCTTACTTACTTTCTCTTATTTTTGATATTCACAATAACTTCCAAATATGTATTGTTGAGCTCTTTCAAAAGGCTAGTTTCCTATCTTAATTTCTGTCATTTTGTTCTCTTCTAGAGCAGATTAGATATTTTGTTTTTCCTTCATTAATTTCTAGATCTCTTTTCGGTACTTCATTTTAACAGAATTGTTACTGATTCTTTTAATCATTTGCTGTATCTTACCATAAGATCTACGTCATCTGCATATACTGCTATTTGTATTGAGGAGTGAACTACTGTTCCTTTAAATCAGCTGACCTTGACTGTTCATTTCTTCTGCTTCCCATATTCTAACTATTAAGTTTTAAATCATGTTTTAAATGCTTGTTAATCATTTTTATGTTGGTATCCCTATTTCATTATTTTTCATGTCTTCCATTGCACATTCTTCTTCTTCAAGTCTTTCGTTGTATCTATATAGTTATGTAAAATGTTAATCTGAATTTTATTTGTTGAGCTTTTAGGTATCCAAATAGTCTAGCACTGTCATTACTATTCTATTCTAGGTCTTTTAACTCCTCAATCCACAGCCTTTTTTTGTTTTTGCAACATTAATCAACTACTTTATTTGTATTTATTTCCATGACATTCTTTAGTTGATATCCATTTATTTCTTGCTTGATTTATTATAGCTGGTATCTGGGAGTTTTACAGAATTTTCTTTTCAGTTTCATTGGAATCTACCTGTGACACAGTACACCACTGCTTTCTTCCACTTCATCTGTCCCACATTAACTCTACTGCATGCATATCTCCTAGATACTTAAAACTATTACTGTCCACATTTCACCATCCAAAATTATCATTTTATTTGCAGTAACTTTATTTCTTAAGTAAATTGAAAACATATTATTTTTAATTGTATACTATACTACTTTAAACCAGTGTAAAAATAATCTAAAACCGTCAAATGTTCAGTCAGACTATTATTTACTAAAAACAGTTTTTATTGTTTCCTGAATGTTTGCTCTACTATAAACTTATGCATTTTAACAAATATGCATGCATTTAAATCTTTTTGTTTTGAAAAAAAAGGCTAACACAGTAAATGCTTGCAGTTATCTAAGGTAATGAAGAAAACAACAATAAAATAAATAATTATATTGACAAGATAATCAGAGAACAAACCTATAAATTATTTTAAAAACTGTCCCATATATTTATCAACTGATTCATATCTCCAATTGGTATCTTTTATAAACTCTAGTTCTCTTCTGAGAATTTTTATTCTGGTTAAATGCATATCTTGGAAACTGTTTTCCGCGTTAGTCGTCACTATCTCAAAGTATTTTGTATCTTTCATTCTTAAAGCTGATGCATCTTCAGATGCTTTTCTTTCTTCTTGGAATGGGGTAGATATTACTATTTTTGGTATATGTACACTACACATCTTAAATTTGTTTTTGTTTTTATAGGTTAAAAAAAATTCTATTTTATTATTTTAATTTTGTTCTGTTGTTTTTGTTTTGTTTAATTTATTTAATTTAACTCATCAGCTGTTCATCAGTGTTGCCACATTCCCATGGTTGTTTTTTTCTGTTTCATAGGCATATTTTTTAACAATTCATTTTAATATTGCTATTGATAAAATCAATTGTTGGTAATAGGACTGCTAAATAATAGTTTTACTATATAAAAAAGGAACAAATAATACGTATTATTAAAATAGTGAACTAATGTAACAAGAGGGTAGTGTCTACTCAACAATCTTTTTGTGGTCTGGATAAATATAGCCACAAACCATAAGAGTATGTATGGTTTGTGAATATAGCTACAAATCAAGCTCACAGAACGAAATGTTAGTATCATGCGGCAACCACATACATAATATGCACTATTTTATTCGTACTTTTGGTTGAGGAATCGATTAATTTATTTCAAATGTACTAAATTATTAATCTTTAAAAAAATTTAAATTACAGTTCTGTCGTAGCTTGTCACAAATGTCTCAATTCGAGTCTATGTTTCCGTCTAAAACATGGCGTTTCGTGCTGATAAATTTCAAAGGCGGCATCCGAGAGTGGGCATTCTGATTGTTACTTATTCCGTGTCACAGAGGTCACAGAATAATAAACAATCAGAATGCCCACTCTCAGATGCAGCCTTTGAAGTTTTTCAGCACGCGCGCCATGTTTTAGAAGGAAACACATAACAGAGACATATGATTTGTGAGGTTATGTTATTATATTATATCAATGACGTATAATATATAGACTCGGTGAACGCTTTAAAAAGTGTCCAAAACATGATATAAGGAAACATGGTATGCTCACGCGCATCTATTTTGAACAGCCAATCGCGTTTACGACCAAAATCCGCCATTTTGAAGGCGGCAATTCAAATATGTACAAAATTGATAAAAAATATCGTAGTTAAATAAAATAAAATAAAATTAATATTATACATTAATCCAATTAATTCAGATTTAAAATGATCTGAACAGACTCTTGCTAAAATAATTTTTTAAAAAATCGAAACAAATTTACTTTTAAATTCCAATTCATTGCAAAGTAAGGTTAAAAAATGCAAAACAAAGCAGACGTCAAGCATGTAGAGGTGGTTGATCCAAGTATTTTTGTGGATCAGTTCAAACTGATACGTGTAAACAAATATACCTGTTAAAAAATACTGGTTTGGAAATCAGTCTGTTATCATTCGTTTAATAGATATCTAAACATAACGACAACATTATTTGTATTTTGTTAGATTTCTTTATAGTTATTAAAATGACTGTTTAACTTAAAATACTTAAATTACTGTTATTCAGAGATTGTATAAAAAGTTCATAAAAAAATGGCGATAGTTTTGTCACGCCAATTGTCATCTGTTGATATTTATCTAAAGCTTTGTAAACGTTAAGAAATGCACGATAAAAATTAAGGACAAATGCAATGAAACCCGTACTCGTTTATTATATATTGGTGTTAGGGATCAGTTCCACAAGTATAAATAAAATACATGTTCCAAAGTAACTGTTACGGGATCAGGTCACCATTCCTACACGCATGTGACATATTGAAAAGATGGTGGATTTTGGTCGGCGCAGAAATGTGCAAAAACGAGTCCACCTAGTAAGCATACCTTGTTTCCTTATATCATGGTCCAAAACATGAATATACCTTTGTTATTGTTTATTGTTTTGATACGAAGATGCACGAAGTTCATGATTTCTTACGAAGCATCACGAAGTTGATCATGTGTTTGAAAACATCATGGACGTATGAAAACATTTTCTCCATTTGTGTGACAAGCAAATTTTATTTTAAATTGTTGAGAGTTATTTACTTACTATTTTAGTAAAATGCAATACTATTTTATCAAAATAATTATTTCTCTTATAGACGGGAACAAAAAGAAATCATAAATATTTAATTTTAATTAAAAAAATAATTATTGTCATTAATATATAAATGAGCACGTCGCTGTTCTGATAAACATACCTTCAACCTTGAGCCGAGATCTTTCGGACACTCTATTCTATAGGGAGAATAGGGGACTGCGTAGTCTATATATTATACGTCATTGTATTATATTTTATATAATTATATTATATTTAACAATGTTAATATAATTGTATAGATACTGAAAAACTCGGAAACACGGAGATCGGTTATTTGCTTAAAATAAACGAAAAATTCTTGTTATGACATATATAATTAGTTTATTATGTAAGTATAAAAATAAACCAGTGAAAAGACTACATAATTAAAAATATATAGATAGAAAAAAAGATAGAGAACTGCTAAAGACAGTTAAACATCGAAATATGTCTGATCTGGGACATATAGTAAGGGGAAGTCGATATAAAATATTACAACTGATCCTTAAAGGCAAAATAGAGGACCGTAGAGATGTACGAAGAAAACAAGTTTTTTGGTTAAAAAACATTCGTAAATGGACTCAGATATCAAATGCAGGAAAATTGTTCCATATTGCAGAAGATCGAGAAGCCTTCGCAATGATGATCGCCAACGTCGGATAATCCTGATATGGCATGCAAAGAAAAAGAAGAAAAACATTAACCTACTGAATCATCTTCATGTGGTAAAAAAGTCTTATAGATTTCCGCGTCAACTTCTGGCCTCGTTTTGACGCTGCGATGTTGCGTCAACTATATATTGCGGTAAATATATTTTTATTTACATTGTTATTTGTACAAAGTTATTTATAACGAATGAGTAATATCTAATAAAAGTTTTCTACTCAGTGTTATAATAACCGATTCACTGTTGTTGATTTGTTCTTTCAGGAGACGTATTTGTTGAACTAACATATTTTATGTGCTGTCTTTGGTAACTTAACGCAAAGTTTAATTTTTTTTATAATTACAGATTTATGTTAGGAGAACTTATTATCAGTATTTATTTTCAAGAATATCAGTGAATACAGCTAGTCGAAACATTAATCGTATTATACAAAATTAAAGTCAAGTTGCATTACTAGAACAAGCTAGTTTAAAACGTTTTTTTCTAAATCACTTAGTGTTAACTAGCATAGCAATTATTTGTTACGTTATTAATTTGAGCATGTTATCTTTGCTAAAATATATGTGTTATAATGAAGAAAAAATGTTACCATGACACAAACATATGATGAGTCTATAGCTATAGACAAAATATACTGTGGTCAAATACAACAATAAAAACATTTATATAAACACACTTGCTTCATGCCACAAACAACCATTTGTTACAGAACTGCATAATACTTGTTGTTATAACAAATTGTATTTTCTTAAAACTATATTTAAATGTTATACAAAAGAATATTTTTTCCATAAAATATGCAAGTTACATCCCAATACGTTTTACATTAATTAATTACGATAATTGCAATCAAATTTTTTCTACAAAAATATTCATATTTTTCTCAAAAACATATAAATAAGGTTTAAATAAATTAATTCCGCCAACTTAAGTTTGTTCCCAATTCAATTAGAAATTCCACTGTACTACGTTTAAACCCATGTTTTTACAATTCACTTATACAGCTCCTGTCGGACTTTGCCCTGCGCGCAAATATGACGTAGACGCCACGAGATAATCAATTTGCTATACCTTTGTTATTGTTTATTGTTTTGATACGAAGATGCACGAAGTTCATGATTTCTTACGAAGCATCACGAAGTTGATCATGTGTTTGAAAACATCATGGACGTATGAAAACATTTTTCTCCATTTTGTGTGACAAGCAAATTTTATTTTAAATTGTTGAGAGTTATTTACTTACTATTTTAGTAAAATGCAATACTATTTTATCAAAATAATTATTTCTCTTATAGACGGGAACAAAAAGAAATCATAAATATTTAATTTTAATTAAAAAAATAATTATTGTCATTAATATATAAATGAGCACGTCGCTGTTCTGATAAACATACCTTCAACCTTGAGCCGAGATCTTTCGGACACTCTATTCTATAGGGAGAATAGGGGACTGCGTAGTCTATATATTATACGTCATTGTATTATATTTTATATAATTATATTATATTAACAATGTTAATATAATTGTATAGATACTGAAAAACTCGGAAACACGGAGATCGGTTATTTGCTTAAAATAAACGAAAAATTCTTGTTATGACATATATAATTAGTTTATTATGTAAGTATAAAAATAAACCGGTGAAAAGACTACATAATTAAAATATATAGATAGAAAAAAAGATAGAGAACTGCTAAAGACAGTTAAACATCGAAATATGTCTGATCTGGGACATATAGTAAGGGGAAGTCGATATAAAATATTACAACTGATCCTTAAAGGCAAAATAGAGGACCGTAGAGATGTACGAAGAAAACAAGTTTTTTGGTTAAAAAACATTCGTAAATGGACTCAGATATCAAATGCAGGAAAATTGTTCCATATTGCAGAAGATCGAGAAGCCTTCGCAATGATGATCGCCAACGTCGGATAATCCTGATATGGCATGCAAAGAAAAAGAAGAAAAACATTAACCTACTGAATCATCTTCATGTGGTAAAAAAGTCTTATAGATTTCCGCGTCAACTTCTGGCCTCGTTTTGACGCTGCGATGTTGCGTCAACTCTGAAGATGAAGGATATATGTAGGGGTTGACTCTTCTTGTTGCTCAATGTAAACGGGGGAGGTCCTCTTTTTCTTCTTTCAGGAGGGATCTATTTGAGTACTCTTCTAGGCCATCTGTACTCTAGCATTCTTTTAACATGTCCGAACCAGATTAATTGTTTTCTTTTTATGTCATCATTGATATTTCGCTCCATGTTCATTTCGTTTCTAACTCTCTCCAGTTTCGATCTACCGTAGTTTCGTCTTTTGTCTCAGATAATCCATTTCTGTCGTCATAAGTTTGTTTTTATTAGCTTTGGTGACGTCCCGTACTTCCGAACCGTAAAGTGTAATACTTTGGACTATACTACCGTAAATGTGTTTTTTGGTTTTTCGTCGAATTGTTTTTTTCCAGAGAAGAGAGTTTAAGGTACGAGTCGCTGCTCTACTTTTGTTTATTCTTTCCCTGATTTCATCTGCGCTATTTCCCTTCTTGTTGAAAATGGCCCCCAAATATTTACAGAATTGCACGCCTTTGGTTTTGTCGTCTTCCAAGACTAAGTCACATATTTCATCTGTTCCCACTGATAGATATTCACATTTTGTCATATTCATGTTTAGACCTGCCACCTCATATCCTTCTTGCAGTTTTCTTACCATATAGCTAAGATCATCGCTGTCTTCGACAATTACTACCTGGTCATCCGCAAAGAAAAGTGTATATAGCGTGTTTTCTTCAACCGTTATTCCCATGTTCCTCCATTTTTTTACCCATTTCACTAGGGATCTGTCCAAATAGATTTTAAATAAGGTGGGTGACAGACAGCAGCCTTGTCTTAGTCCCTTTGTTGTTTGAAAATGGGAGATGATTTCTTGTCTCATTTTAATTCTTGCAAAGTTTTGTTCTTAGTATTTTTGAATGGCGTTAATAAGAATTGGGTTTATTTTCAAGTTACCCATTTCTATCCATAGTTGGGAGATCGGTACACTGTCATATGCTTTTTCCAAATCTATTAAAGCTATATGTGTTTCTCTATTTCTCTGCACTCGTTTTTCCATTGCAATTTTTAATGTGAAAATATTATCCATAGTGGAGCGTCCGGCCCTAAATCCCGCTTGTTTGTCTTTAATGTCATTTTCTATCAGGTTTCGTAGTACCTTTTTAGTATAGTCTGCCTATAGTAGCAATCACTGCGATCCCTCTATAGTTTTTAGGATCCGTCTTTGTGCCTTTCTTGTGTATTGGAGAGATATACGATTGTTTCCATTCTTCTGGAACTTCTTCTCCGTTTAAACATCTTTCGAATAATTTTCGGATCATTTCAAACAGTTTTGATGATCCACACCTAATCAACTCTGGATGTATTCCGCCTGGGCCTGGAGATTTTGTTAATTTCATTCCCTTAACTGCTTCTTTCACTTGTTCTATTGATATTTCTATACTTCCTTCTACTTCCACTTGTTCATGTGTCTGTTTAAACCTTTCTCTTCTCTCTCTTAATAAGTTTTTAAAATGCTGTACCCATGTGTTCTCTGGTATTCTATTTATTATGACTTGGTTTTTTGTCGTTGTTCTCATCGTTTTATAGTTCTCCAGGCTTCAGAGCTCTTTGTTCCTCCTATATGGTTGTCTAGGTATTGGCATTTTTGTTCTCATGCACTATTTTTATTTTTAACCACTTCTCGTTTGACTTCTTCAAGTTTTTATATTGTTGTTTTGTTTGTTCATCTCCCTGTTGTAATAACTTTTGATATACTTCCTTCTTTGTTTTTATCTTTTCTTCCACTTCTTTATCCCACCAATATGGTTTATCTTCTCTCCGTACCTGTGGTCCCAAGGCTTCTAGCGCTGCGTCTTTCATGCAATTTTTTATATGTTCGTATTCATCCGTCGTTGATCTGTGTGATTCCTGTAGTTTTTGTGTTAGTCTCTAGGAGTAAAGTAACTGTGTGCTCTCGTTATCTAGATTGTCTAAGGTGTACGTAGTTTTTTCTATTTTTTCTCTGTGTTCTTTGTTGATGTCTGTGTGGTTCCTGTCTATGAATGGTGTATATATTTTTCCCATTATCAGGCAGTGGTCCGAGCCGCACTCTGCTCCTCTATTCACCTTTACGTCGTGTACTCTTAGCTTAGTTTGTTGCCTTGTTACGAAATAATCTATTATCGATTTTAGACCTCTTGTGTGCTGATACCAGGTGTATTTATGTATGTTCTTGTGGGCGAAAAAACCATTCAAAATCTTTAACTCATATTGTTGGCATATATTTATGAGTCTTTCTCCGTTGTTGTTAACAGTTTCTTCTCCATGCATGCCTACCACTTTACTTTTTACTTGTTTTCCTACTCTGGCATTAAGGTCTCCTCCGCATATAATCTCATGGCTGTTAGGAATTTCGTTCAGGATTTTTCTAAAGTCTTCTTGAAAAGCTTTCTTTTCTTGTACCGAGTAGTCATCATTTACGGCATATACCCCAGAATTGTTATTTGTGTTCCTCTTGGGAGAATCGTCACTTTAATAAAACGTTCGTTGATTGTTTCCCAAGATTTAACATATTTTTCGAATAGATCCCAAAGTAAATAACCAAAAAATCTAAATGAAATATATTATTATTATTATTCAAATATATACAAATTATATGGCTTACATAATCGATCTATTTTAACTTAAAAATTAGTAAATACATCATCTTCATTATTATCTTTAGCTTTTTCAAATGTTTAGTAATGTTATTCACTAGTTTGCAGTTTTTACTAATTCATTATGCCTCACGTCAAAATTAGGATCATCATCTATGGAATATCTGCTGAGTTTAGACATTACAAAGAAAAACATTACAATAACAAATAAAACAAGTGATCCTAGCATGCAAAATCGTCGACAAACTGATTTTCTTCCTCTAGATCGCAGCGGTGCTCCGAATGTTATCCTAAAAAAATTAGAGACCGGTTTTAAATAATATTTAACTGTGATTTTATTGTTCTTTTTCGAAAATTAGAAATTGCCAAAGATAGAAGAATCAAAAATAGCAAAGTGTTTCATGAAACGTTTATGTATTACTTATATTTCTGGGAAAAAATGCAAAAGAAATCAATTAGGTCAGAAATTAAGAAATCATAACTATTTATTTCTGGAAATAAAACATTTAGCAGTTTTGAGGTCTCATAAAATAAATTTTTGCATTCACAGGTATTTTATAGTTATAGTTACATTTTTTTTTTCGTTGATTGGTTTAATCTGTAATGCAGTAGTCATGTTTGGTGGCAAATTCATCAGCAAAAAGTTTCGTAACCAGGGAAACAAGTTGAAGGATATCCGAATTTATATGCTTCCAATGCATTACATCTTCTGTATTTAGTTCATCCAAACAATCAACTAGTCTAGATAAGTCTAATACTAGATAAGTCTAATTAACCACATTTCGAAGACATACACCAAGGTTATTTACAACAGAATAAGCAAAAAATGCGAGGATAACATTGGAGATTCGTAGTTTGGGTTTCGGAATTTTCTTGGGACAAGAGAAGCACTTTTTAGTCTGCAGGTGCTCATCCAGCGCTGCAGAGATATGAACAAAGACGTGTACATATGCTTTATAGACTACGCAAAAGCATTCGATAACGTAAAGCACGAAAAGATAATTGAAGTTCTCCATAAGATCGGAGTCGACTACAGAGACATTCGAACAATAGCGAGTCTCTATTGGGGTCAAACAGATAAAGTGAAAGTAGGATCTACATTGACCAATAAAATTGAGATCAAGAAAGGGGTACGACAGGGCTGTATCTAGTCTCCAATTCTCTTTAATATATACTCAGAAGAAGTATTTAAGACAGCGCTGGAGGAAAGCACAGAAGGCATAAAGATAAATGGAGAAATAATTAATAACATAAGGTATGCTGATGACACTGTGATTCTAGCAAGTAGCATGGAGGAACTGAGTTGCCTAATGAGTAAGATACAAAAAACAAGTGCACAATACGGACTCAGACTAAATATCACAAAAACCAAATGGATGTTAGTAAGCAAAACCCAACAACCACCACAGCAACTGATATTAGACAATGAAAGAATTGAACACGTGGATTCGTACATCTACTTGGGAACAACAGTTAACTCAAATTGGGATCAAGCGAAGGAAATACGTATAAGGGTAGAAAAGGCAAGAGCATCGTTCACTAGCATGAAGCAAATTTTCACCTCTAAAAGCCTCACTCTACCTGTCAAAATTCGACTTCTGAAATGTTATGTATTCCGGTTTTGTTATATGGAATGGAGGCGTGGACAATGACCGCAACATTGATAAAAAAAGTAGAGGCCTTCGAAATGTCTGCTTACCGACGAATATTACGTATATCCTGGACTGAGCACGTGACCAACGAAGAGGTACTACGCCGGATAGGTAAAGAGAGAGAGGTGGGAATAAGTATAAAGAAAAGAAAGTTGGAATACTTGGGTCACGTTATGAGACATAATAAATATAGAGTACTACAGCTGATCGTTCAAGGGAAAATTGACAGCAGAAGGGGTCCAGGGAGCAGAAGACACTCGTGGCTGCAAAACTTGCGGCAATGGTTCGGATTGTCATCTGCTGAACTATTCAGATCTGCCGTAAACAAAGTCAGAATAGCCATGTTGATTGCCAACGTTCGGAACGGACAAGGCACATGAAGAAGAAAACAATCAACTGCGATTACTGTTAGTTAATATTTTTTTGCTGGGCAGATCCTTTCAGATTGTTCAAGATCCAATTGCATCTTTAACCTGTTTCAAGTACCTAGTATCGAAGCATACTAGCCCAGGAAGACTGATGGCTTGAAGTGCCTTCCAAAGCATGGTTAATAGCTCGTATCATTTTTACAAATGAAGTATGTGCGACCTATATAGAAGTTTGCAAAGAATTTAATATTCTTAAAAACCATGCATATTGGGATATATCACTGGCTGGGATAAATGTGTTTTTTATCCAAACAGAAAGATTTTTTAGGAAAAATATCAAAATTAAATGAATGAAGATGAACCATTTGTCTGTAACTAATCTAGACATGCAATTGTTATCAAGCGTGTATAATGAGGCGTCGGTTTCAATTGGGGATATCCCTTTGGCAATTGCTGACAAAAGGTTGTTGCAGTTGGGAATGTGTACCTACATAATATCGATCTGTAAATGACGCTTATGATTTTTGCAATGCCAAATAATTCAAGAATAGATAAAACTCTCTAAATGTGTGGATCATATGGCACAAATCCTTCTGGTGTTTTTCTGAATATGTCTGGTGATTTTTGACAAACCACATCGATGTACTTAAACAAATGATAAAATTATGTATTTGCCAAAGGTTTCGCAAAACAACTACTGAATTTTGGGAATGGTAAGATTGACAAAACAACCAGACAATGTACCAAACTGCTGACTAACTTTTGTAAGATAACACGAACCAAAAACGGGTTGATTCAAAAGGTTTTTCCAAATATCGCGAGAAATTACAACAATTATAAGGAGTTAAATGCATGTGCTATATTATTGGCTCAAATAATGAAGCAAATGCCATCAACTCAGCATTAGCAAATGAATACCAGCTACAATGTGATAGTTGTTTGCTAGAGGTATAAAACCCAAATAGGCAATACTTTTTTGCATCTTTTTTGATAGCATCCATTTTGACAGCTGTCAATTGATTTATATTGAGTTTGGCTTGCTAGTTTATGCAAATTTATTTAGACATTTTTAATTTTTTGGTTCGAAATATGTATCATGCATCATGTTAATTTGATGGTCAATATAATCCTTATATAGAGCAATTAATTCAATTAGAGATTAGAATTATGTTTATAAAGAGAACTGCTGTTGATCCCGATTTTCATAATCATATTTTGTTTAGATGAAGCTCACATTTGGTAGAATGGCTATGTCCATAAGCAAAACTTAAGTATTTAGAGCAAAGATCATCTTCAAATATATGTTAAGTATATGTTATTAGATCCAGAAAAAGGACTGTTTATCATACTTTATGGGCTGGTGGAATCATTAGTCTCTACTTCTTCAAAAACTATACTAGCCAAAACGTTAAAGTCAATAGTGGCCGCTATAGAGCCATGGTCACTGTCTTTTTCGTTTTTGAATTGAATTATCTTGCTGTGAAGGAGCTATAGTTTCAACAAGACACCACAACATTTGACAGACCTCGTACCATAATCTATTTATTGAAAGAAACATTTTTGACCTGTCATTGGCTTCTAAGATTGTGTGTTCTAACACTGCTACACTATTTTCTGTGGGGATATATAAAGGTATTAGTATATGCTGATAAGCTAGAAAAGATTCATTACTTGGAGAACACTATTTGCTGAGTTATTGCCGAAAATGCCACAAAAAGATATCTAAAATTGGACCTCTAGATTGTAATACATCCACGACAGTTATATGTCAAAAATCATATTTCTTTCATGACAATTTAAAATATTTCTTTGTTTTACTCAGGATTCTTTAATTCGCTAGATTTGGCAATAAAACTACTTCCACATATTACAAGTATCCCAACAAATATGCCATTTCAATTCAAATGTTTGCACTTGTGGTGAAACTATCTTTTGCAATTAGTATCAACAAAGCACTAGGACAATCACAGTAAGTGAATGTACTAGATTTGGAGAATCCATCCTTCACACATAGTTTAATATATCTGGAAAATATAAAGACATGAATTTGAACTGCACTCTGTGTGTAACATTTTTCAACATTTAAACAACCATACCGTTTTTGTACAGTTCAACTTCAATTTTAAAAAGACCCCAACCAGAGACATATTTCATATGATTTACATGTATTGAAATTTTATTTGATTGATCTAACTGGTGATCATCATCATCATCTTCGGCTCGACAATCCTCTGTGGATTTTGGCCTGCTCTAAGATTCGTCGCCATTCTGTTCGGTTTTTGGCAACATGTTGCCATCTTCTGATTTTTAATATTCGTAAGTCTACTCCGTAAGTTTCTACTCCATCTAACCACCTAATTCGCGGTCGGCCTTTACTTCTTTTTCCTGCAGGTGTTCCTGTGGTTAGCTTTTTAACAATGGTATTTTCTGGCATTCAAGATCTGGCATCAAAGAGCTGATACAATTCAAAATTATATCTTCTGCGCCACTGCCCTTGGTCGTTTGCAGCTCCAAATATTTTGCGGAGTATTTTACGTTCAAATATTCCCAAAAGTCTTTCATCTTTCAGCGTTAGAGTCCATGTTTCTGCTCCATATGTGAGGACCGGCCTCAGCAATGTTTTGTATAATATAATAATTTTAGTTCTTCTTTGAATGTTTCTTGAGTGGAAATGCTTTTGGAGTCGATAGTATGCCCTATTTGTAAGATTTATTCGTCTTTTGATTTCTTCGCTTGTTTTATTGGTAGGTCAATAGCGACCCAAGGTATGTGAAGTTGTCAACACATCCAAAGGTATGACTTCCAAAGACTGTTTCTCGTTCCTCATTTGCTATCGGATCCTTTGTAACCAACATGTACTTGGTTTTGTCTTCGTTGATGACTAGACTGACCTGTTTCGCCGCTGTTTCCAATTCTAGGAGATATTGCTCAACATCTCGCTTGCTACGCCCTACTATGTCAATGTCATCGGCATATGCTAAGACTTGTATCGATCTATTGTAAATAGTACCGCCATCCCTAATTCGTGTATCTCAGACTGCCTTTTCTAAGGCAATATTAAATAGGAGCAAGCCAGAGCATCTCCTTGTCTGAGTCCATCCTTTATCTCAAAGGATCTAGAACTCTCTCACTGTATTCTAACAGTGGCTTCTAAGTTAGACATTGTCATTCTCGTTAGTCGGATGTTTCTCTGGTATATCAAACTCATGCATTGATTGGTATAGCACTGTTCTCTTGACACTGTCGTATGCAGCCTTGAAGTCGACGAATAGGTGATGGGTTTCAATATTGAATTCTAATGTTTTCTCGAGAATCTGTCTTATTGAATGAATCTGGCCAATTGTTGATTTTTCTGGAGTGAATCCAACTTGATATTTACCAACTATGCCCACTGTGTAAACTTGCAACCTTTCGTAGAGAATATTTGCTAGTATTTTGTAAGCAGCTGTTAACAGGGTTATACCTCTATAGTTGTCACATTGGAGCTGGTCACCTTTTTTTTGTAACAGGCATATCACGCCTTGAGACCATTCACAAGGCATGGTCTCATTATGCCAAACAAGCAGTAAAAGCTTATGCAGTGTCTGTAGTAGGGCATCACCACCATTCTTGTAGAGCTCACTGCAAATTTGATCAACTCCTGGTGATTTATTATTTTTAAGCTTTTTAATGGCTTGGGCAATGTTTTCGATGGTAGGTGGTGTTTCGTTTGGGTTGAAAGGATTCCAATCATTTCGATTTGCTAGGGTGTTATCTGCTTATCTAACTGGTGAGACTGAAATTTTAAAGCCTTAAACCATCAAATACGGAATAACATCCAAACTTTCAGTATTTTTACTTTCCTCTCACAAAATTTAAATAGGACAGAACCTAACACAAAAGAAGGATAACAAAATGAAAACAAATAATATAGAGATAATATGGATGTTATGTGCAAAAACTAAAAATTTGCCTCTAAGATATTCATACAATGTATAAAAATTTCAACTTACTTGAACCAATTTCCAAATAATTCAGAAATAGGTTTTCTTTTATATTTATTATCATCATGGTCAAAAACATCAGGTTTGATATCTCTAATGTCCTGAAATATCCGCCTATTTGAAGAATGCTGAAAACTATCTGCTCTGTTGAAAGCACCAATATCTTCATCCACTGAGACCACTGAATGGGCAGGGCTTGGAGTTATCCTAGGAGGCATGTTCATATGGTTTATTGAGCTTTTTATTTCACGTTCTTCAGACAACTAAAAATTAAACTAGATAGTTACTAATGGTTTCAAGCTGTTTATTCTTATATTTTTTAAAATCTTTTATGGGAATATTATATCAATATAAAAACATGTCTCTGAAAATCATAAGGTGAAGAAAATCAGAGAAGCAGACTGAGGACAATAACTATGAAAGCCTCACCTCAAAAATTTTTAGAAAATCTACATATGAAAATTGTTATTAATGAACCCATGCCTTTCCCAGACATATTGAATAGAAAATGAAAACAATCTAAGTTAATACTAGATACAATACAGCTATACCACAAAAGGTATTTTGGCTTTCAATTATAACAATTTTGTTTATATATGTATGGATAATGTAATTTATACTTATACATATAATACTTCTTCATATATTACATTTTAATACTGTAGCGTTTTTAAATAAAACGAGCGGTTCGAATTTATATAAATATATTTATTTATAAGTTTACAGTTTGGTATATATATTGGGTAACAATGTTATGAGTTGAGTTAGTTGTTAAGATATTACCGAACTTGTTAACTTATAAATAAATATATTTATAGAAGTTCGAACCGCTCGTTTTATTTAAAAACGCTACACTTGGTGTCCGGTGTGAGATTTTAAAATAAATTCAGCAGTGACTTTTGAACTTTTGAAAAGTGTTGTTCGTCGGGAACATCCGCGTAGTTCGGTAGTGATTTTTTTACGAAAGAACATTTAAAAAAAGTATGTGTGTGCCTGGCCAAAGATGCTGCTAGTAGAACTTTCAGTAAAACAGTTGCGTGAGCAACTAGAAGAACGCGATGAAGACTGCAGCGGGTCCAAGAAGATAATCCAATAACGACTGAAAACTGTTCTCAACAAGAATGGAGAAGATCTAGAGACATTCCAGTTCCAGTCAGCAGAAGAAGCAGTTTTAAGGAAAATAAAAAATGTGTCGGAAATGATTGAAGAAACTTCTAAAAAAAAATGAAGAATCTTCTAGAAAAAATGATGATAAATTCGAGAACGTTTCCAAAAGATTCAATGAAACGTCTCAAATTATTAAAGAAACAGTTAGACAAAATGACGAGAAATTCGAAAATGTATCTAGAAGATTCAACAAGACTTCTCAAATAATAAAAGAAGTATGTATTCAGAACAATGCGAAATTTGAAGAAGTCTCTAAAACATTCGATAAAGTAGAAGAGAAAATTAAACAGTTAGAGAGCATGATAACCAATACACAAGTGCTACCACCGGTTAATGCTTTAGATCCGGTAGTGAAAGAAGAATCATAGAAGAATCGTAAATGACGTAATATACCGAATTAAGAAGTTGATAAAAGGTAAACCAAAAGTAGTTCACATAATTCGTCTTGCACCTTATGCTGGCTCAAATGAAACAGAAGAAGCCTGAACCCTTCAACATGAGATCAAAGATGACTGGCGACCAAGCTTTAATGAATTTATGTCAACTTACGCAGAGAGAAAGAGTGCTAGATTCAGCGTGAGGACAAAAGTTCAGGAGGATCTTTTTAGTCCGCATAACTTCACTCTAGCCCACTGTGTTGCCCAAGATCTTGAGATGACTAAAGGAATCTCATCCGTATTTTATAAGAAGTTCAGTCGTTTGGATGAGTTAAAAAAAACCAGCAGCTTAAAGTTGGAAGAGTACTGAGGTTAGACAATGGTTCTCAATCTTTGCTGTATATGGTGACCAGGAAGCCGTATATAGACATCCTCTAACTAATTTGAAGAAAATTGTGTGCAATTACATCAAGAATTTGGCCTTACCCAAGATAGGCCATGCACTAGATAATCTGAACTGGAAGATTGCCAGAAGCATGCTTGAAGTGATCTTCTGAGAAACTGCCATACAAATTACTGTGTGTTGCATTAACCCGAAGAAATTGTGTCCTTCAAAGTCAGTCTACTGTTATTTCATGTTATAACAAAATGTGTAGAAACTTATATACCTAAACTCTGTTAAAACATTTACCCTAGGTCTCATTTTTATCAGAATGCTTCAAAGGTCAGGATGTAAGATTGTTGAAAAGAAATATTCATAGGACCAAAGACACAGTAAGTTAAAATTGAAAATTTCACTAAATTTATTTTTCACCTGTTTTGTAGAACTTGTATTTTTGAATGTGTTATACCAATTCAACTTATAAATTTAGTATTAAGATTTAATAACCTCAAAACCATATATTATGACCAAAAATTGACCCCTTGCTTAATGTGGCCACTTTTTCAATTACAAAGGGATTGAGAAATTCAGGGATGAAAAGAGTCATTTGAAAAATATAATTTTTTTCCCTAAGCTAATGGCATTGGCAAAGGAAATATAGAAATCACTCTCCATATAAAGAAAAATATATCCCTTGTTTTACTAATCCTTTATAAACCCAAATTAAACTATTATAAAATGGATGCATATACCATTACATTTAAAAATTAAATGTGGGCAGAACTAATAAAATATCACAGTACATTAAAAAATTTCCAATTACTGTGAGTGATAACAAAAATTTCATATCCTTTTGGACACCTGTTAACTACGTTACTATAATCATATACATACTAAAGGCAGTCCGAGGCCAGCTCTAGCCCAGTTAACTCCAGCCAGTTTTTCTTTTAGCACATCTGCTACAGGACTTATTAAATTAGATGGTGGAAACAATGGGCTTTTACAGGATGGGCATGTATATCCTCTGGGTGCAGTAGTAGGAGGTAGCTGTCGTGAAAAGTGATCCAAACATGACCAATGAAACACATCTAAAAGTAAACAAGACATTCATTTTAAATAACTAAAAATATTTTAAATACACTTACGATAGCAGGTTAATCGGATACAGTCTTGACTACTTAATTCTTTACTACACAATTCGCATATTGAATTATAATCACTATCTTGTAACCATTGAAGATAAGATTGAACTATGCACTACAAGAGAACACTATTAGTATATCCCAAAGCTAGAATATAGTAAAAAAACTTACAATTGTGTGATTAGTTACCATACAATTTTCGCAAACACAAACTCTATGTTCGAAGCAGAATTGATTCGTTACTCGTCGTTTCGGACATTTGCACAGCCCCATTTTAGCTTTACCTTCTATACTGTATAAAAATTATTTAGGTACAACGACATTAATATTTTAAAATATGTGAGACTACAAAATTGTTCGATACAGGGCCGGCCACGTATTTGACTGCACAAATAGAATTTGTCAACGTCAAACAAAACATAAATAAAATTATGTTGACGTTTGATGTTTGGTAGTTTTTTTGACAATTCCATAAAACCACAGATAACATAAACAAATCAAAATGAATACGTTATTAGTTTTGATATTGCAACTATAAAAAGGGGCAAAGTCAACGAGAATATAAAATAATTTTAAATTTTACGTTTTTTAGGCCGAGGAATCTTTCATCTATTTTAAAGTTACTTTACTTTTATCTATAATCTAAAAATACACGCACTGCACACACAGCATTTCTACATCGTAATATATCACTTTGAAGTGACGTGTTGGTCATTTTTTTAGTCCAGAATAAAACTCCAAACAAATAATCCCAAGACGAATTTAATTTAAGTTGTAAAAATAAGTAAAACTCTTAATCAATATCAATTTAATTCCAAAATTAGACATAAATCATAGCTATTTTCTTTCAAAAATATATGTTCATGATTAGCCCATTCTATGTTTTTAACTAATATTCTTATTGTTTCTAATATTTTTTAGTTTGTAAATTAGAAGGAAGCACATAAGGAATCGTTTTTTATTCTGTAATAGAAGGTGAATATATTTACCGGGATTACAAAAAAAATAATGTTGACTTTATTAATTTTCTAATTAAATTTAATTTATATATCAGAGGTACAATAATTTTTTAATAGTCTTATTTTTTAAGAAATTTATAAAAAAATAAAATTTATTTTCTCATTCGTGTTGGTTAAATTAGAACTAGTATTAAGTTGGTAGTAGTTGTAATGTCATTTTTAAAAGACTGTTCTTTTTTTAATAGCTTGTGGCTTGATGCGATTAGGTCAGAGCAGAGTGCCTGCACTGGTTAAGTTGGTTAGTTATAGTGACTGTTTAGAAGAGTGTCGGCGGCGACATTGAGGTAAGATATTTTTATATTTATTAAAATTCGATAATTTTGACCGTCAATACGTTACAAAATTAGGTAAACGACATCGTTTCAATTGTGGAACGTTATGTAATTCATAAAACGAAGTTTCAACTCGTAAATCGTGTTAATTATTGTTTACCTTACAAGGTGTTTTCTTTTTTTGTGATATATTTGAGATACTTAGTTGTCATATCTGATTTCCAATTTCCAAAATAAAGTTTATATAAAGTAACCTAAAGCCTGTTTTAAAATTTATGACGGATATTTAGAACATGATATGTACATCACGTTTTTACGTGGAGTAGTGAGTAAAATAAATAATTGAGAGGTCAGAAAGGGCTTAGACAGTCAAGCAAATTAATGTAATTAAGACACTCTTGTGCAATTAAAGTTTATTATTTACATATATTAAATAAAAATAATGTACATTCTGGTGATGCTTGTCATAAAATAAAATTTACTGAAATAAAAAATTAATTTTTATTTAATTAAAAATCCTTTGTAAAAGGTATATTTTAGGCCCAAACGGGCTAAGTTAAATAGACAAAACGTTTTCGGAAACCATGTTCCATCATCAGTGTCCTAGAAAATAGTTAACCACTTAATTAAAAAGAACGTAGGTTAAAATTTTGACTAAGGTTAAAGAACAATGTGGTTAATACTTACTAGGAGTACATGAATGAAGCCACCAAGATTAAATATGTGGGTAAAAACCCGGTTACATATGTTTAATTACATTTAGTTTTAAATTAATGTTGAAATGATATAAGATTACAGAGTTAACGATGGATTTGGTAACATGGCGACATATGACTCCACGTTGAAGTACGTTGAAGTTGCTAGTCCTGAGACGGTATGTCTTCGAGGACTATATGAGTGCAACTGAAGACATACCGTCTCAGGACTAGCAACTTCAACGTGGAGTCATATGTCGCCATGTTACCAAATCCATCGTTAACTCTGTAATCTTATATCATTTCAACATTAATTTAAAACTAAATGTAATTAAACATATGTAACCGGGTTTTTACCCACATATTTAATCTTGGTGGCTTCATTCATGTACTCCTAGTAAGTATTAACCACATTGTTCTTTAACCTTAGTCAAAATTTTAACCTACGTTCTTTTTAATTAAGTGGTTAACTATTTTCTAGGACACTGATGATGGAACATGGTTTCCGAAAACGTTTTGTCTATTTAACTTAGCCCGTTTGGGCCTAAAATATACCTTTTACAAAGGATTTTTAATTAAATTTTTAATACATGGTATACAGCCAACTACAGGAACTTAGATTCCTTGTGGATAATTTTTATTTCTACCAAGTTGGGAGAGAATATAAAAATAGTTAAAGAATATTAAAATAATTTGGTTTTTAAGTCTGATCAATAAAGAATCAATCATTTGCTTCGTTTATGTTTTCTAACCACCTTTTTCTATGGTATCCTGTTGCTCTTCTGTTTGGTAATATTTTTTTGTTGGTTTTGAAATATTTTTTTTGTTCTATTAGTACCTATGTTTTGTGATATTCCATCCAATTTTAAGATTCCAATGCACCATCTCCATTTTTCCTTTTAGGCAGTGGTAGCTTCTGATATTTAAGTTAAGGGGGGACACAAAAGCAGTTTTTTTTCTGGAAACAAATTTGATTTGATACAAATAACAAATCTTTGCTAAAACAGCCTAGGCTAATTTTCAACAAGAAGTAAAAATAATTCCAGTCTTGTACCATTTGGCCAACTAAGAATAGTTCTTGGCCATAACTCAGGGTGGGATTTCAATACAGGCTTTAGATAATAGATTTTATGATCAAAGTAAATAACAAAATTTATCAAATGAAAGGAAACTGGAAATAGGATCACCTTATTGTTCACAAAATTCCATGGTACTATAACAAACAAGATATGCCCACTTGCCATTCTAATTTTAATCCACTCTACTCATGATGTCATAGAAAGACAAAGCCAGGGGACTTTCAGGGCCAGGGTGTTTCTTATTTTGATTATGTATCATATATGGCAATGCTGTATTATTACTGTAATAAATGCACTAAAAAATTATAAGTAGTTACTTTCTTTGAAAATGTGGTTTGAAAATGGATAACACAATAACCGTGACATCGAGAGAAAATTGATAACAGTTCAGCAATAATCTTGAAACCAGAGAAGCACTACATAGTATTTAAGTTATGGTAAAGAGGTGCAGAGATGTCAGACATCTGATTTATATTTGTTTTATTAGCTTTGAGAAGGTCTTTGATTGAGTACAATATACTGAAATGATAGCCATTCTTCAGCAGTTAGGTATTGATGATAAAGACCTATGTATCATTAAATAACTTTACTGGCATCAGCATGCAAACATCAGAATTGACCAGGTTAATTCTGAAGAGGTGTAAGTACTAAGAGAAGTAAGACAGGGCTGCATTTTGTCCCCACAAACATTTAACATTCATTCTGAGTTTGTTTTCAATAAAGCATTGACACAGAGTTAATTGCAAGTAGTTACATTAAACTTCAACATCTAGTTGATTGGTTTACCACAGCCTATTACAACCTACCTAGGTTGAGAACATGTGCAAAGAAATTAGAATACAAAATAGAGAAGGCAGTCCTAAACTTTTTAGGATGAACAAAAACTTTTGTGAAAACATTATCACTTTGAGACTAAAAATTAGATTAGTAAGATGTTATATATTGTCTACTCTTTTATATGGTGTTGAAGGCTGGACTTTGATGAATACACTTCTTAAAAAACTGGAAGTCTTTGAAATCTGCTTGTACTGAGAATCTGGGAGAATCCTACCAATAAGTTTGGTAGAAGAATGTAATGGCTTTGATAACTTGGGGGAACAGTTTAATAGGTCCTCTACATCCCTTTTCCGAGCTGTCTTCAAGAAAATTAGTACATAATATTAATTATACATCGTTTTCATTGTTAATAATTTGAAAATTTTCGTTGATAGTCGCAGGATTTCCATCTAAACAGCTGATTTCAGTGTCTTAATAAAGTCATGTTTAAAATTTTACAGTTGTCTGGGGTACATGTACCTACTGTGCAGTGTTTTAAATTATAGGAAATACAACTATAATTTTTCCTAAGACATTTTTCGGTACATGATCAGAAATACTTTTGCACATGTTAGTTTCGCTTTCAAAATAATTAAAATTGAAACAATTATTTTCCATTGTCCAACGATGGGTTAATGGAACATGAGATGAAATAATATTGTTTTTTGCTTGCATCCATTTATATATTTACCACTTTTGCTCTTTTCAAGTACAGTAAAACCTCGATATAACGGACTTTTTTTGGGGGCGGGGTGTCCGTTAAAGCCAAAAGTCCGTTATATAAAGATATTTGAATTGAAATGAGGTTGAATGCTCGAATAAATGAACTTTGAAAATAAGGCTATTATTGAGCACAAGTTAATTAAATCTAGCCCAAGTACTTTCGCTTAAAATAGCATCTTCAGGGGCATTTTGTCAAATATAAACTATCCGGCAAGCGTAGAATCTGGAAACATTAATAATTACATAAAATTGTTTATTCCGCTAATTAAATCCCACGCTTGCCAGATAGTTTATATTTGACGAAATGCCCCTGAATTTGCTATTTTCAGCGAAAGTACTTGGGCTAGATTTAATTAACTTGTGCTCGATAATAGCCTTATTTTCAAAATATAAAAATATGTTTAATATAAATCAAAAAACTTTTTTTTTGAAAATATGTATGTACACTGTATTTAGATATATATAAAAAATAAAAATAAAATTATATTTAATTATTGTCTTCGGACATTCGTCGTGATGTGAGGTTACTGGTGATATCAATGCACTTGCTGTCAGCAATCCTATTTTGGAAAAGGAATCTAGTTTTGTTTGCACTTTCGATGTTTGTTGGTTTTTTATGATCAACTCCCTAAAATTACAAAAATGTTTAGAATACAGTTGAACTTCGTTATCTAATAAATAATCAATAAATGTTATTCGATCAGTGAGATGCGATCTTACATCTGATAGCTTTATTTTTGGCAATGTTGTTTTGTCGTCTTCTTCGCTATGTTCACTTACATGTTCATTTTTTAGGTTCATAATTTTATCTGCTATTTCACTTTCAGTCATGATGTTATACCCAGGACCACCTTCATCTACTTCTAGCCATTGTAAAAGATCTTCCTCAGCTACATGTTCTCCAGAATTATTATTTATTGTCCTACAGAAATCAGTAACTTACAACCTTTCTAAATCTATGTCTGAATCAAACAAATTCTTCCAAACATGTTTTAATATTTGCTCTGTCACCTCCTCCCATGCTTCAGAAAAATTGAAAATTGAAAACATACAGCTAAAGTTGCCATCTTCTGAATGTAGAATATTTTCAGAGGGTGATCAGGAGCATTGTTTGAAAGCAATAAACATTTTACCTCTTCTGGTGGTATTCGCAATTTCTTCTTTTGAAATTTTCTCACTAAGTAAAGGTAAAAATTCTTTGAAAAACCAATTTTTGAAAATTATCTTAAATGAGCCATGCCTTCTTAGAGCTATAATATGAAACGGGCAGATCAGATGATACATTATATCTTTTAAAACTCTAGGTTTACGAGATTTGCCAACTGTTACAGGAGTTAATCTATGCGATCCATCGGCGTTAGCATAAAGCAGTGCCGAGATCCTCTCCTTGCTGATTTTTCTCCCAGAATTAAATTTTTTTATATTTGGAGGCTTGTGTACTTTCAGAGCAGCCGTCTCAAAAGTCCGAATCGCTATTATGATTGCCGACCTCCACAGCGGAGATGGCACTTGAAGAAGTACTTTCAGACAAAGTACGCCATAACAAATTCGCATTCCGTTACTTATATGTTCTACTAATTTTTACCTAAAAGGTTCTATTTCTTCTTTTGGTGCACTTGAGGCTTCGCCGTAAATTGTTTTATTCATGATTCCGTAATTTAATTGCAGAAGATTTCAATTCGACAGCCCGGACCGGGAC